CAAAACGAACAACTTTCATGGATAACAAAAGTAAATTCCGAAAAGTTAAAAAACTCTACTATAATAATGAATGTGACGCCCAATTTAGAGCTTTAAAACACCATACTAGGAAATTGTGTAAAGAACCATGGAACAAGCAACTAAGGTTAGAAGTTATGTAAAAAAAAAAGGTACTAAATACATTGATAAGGAAAAATTATAGACAATTGAGAAATAAAATGCTGACTAAAATCTTGGAATCAAATAATTCTTCAGATGAGTTTTGGAAAACTGTTTAAACTTTAAAGAAAAAGAACTGAATGATCCTAGTTCAAACATTCAAGCTAAAGAATGGTTTGAATACTTCAAAAATCTTATGAATACTACCCATAACAAAAATTATAATATCAAGGCATGTACTGATGGTAATTTTTTGAATAATTTTAACAAAAATTTAAATGTTAGGATAACTGCAGAGGAAGTGATGCTTGCTATGAAAGCCTTGAAAAATAAGAAAGCATGTGGTTCTGATGGGCTAACAAATGAAATGTTGAAAATATCTTGTACTATGAACGTCAACATGTATGTAAAATTATTCAACGTAATTCTTTTTACTGGTATATATCCTTCTAAATGGAGAGAAAATTACATTAAACCAGTATTTTAAGGAGGGTGTTTTAATAACACCTCAAACTACAGAGGTATAGCACTTTCTAGCTACTTCGGAAAATTTTTCTCAAGAGTTTTATATAATCGTTTAGAAAAGTATTCTAAAACTAATAATATTATTTGTCGTGAACAGATTGGATTCAAAAAAGGATGTAGAACTAGTGATCACATTCTAACTTTAAAAACTATTATTGATAAAGCTTTTAAATCAAACAAAAGAATATATGCATGTTTTGTTGATTTTAAAAAAGCTTTTGACACTATAAATAGAGAGGCCCTGTTACACAAACTTGCTGAATATAATATAAATGGACCATTCTTCAATATTCTTAAAGATATGTACAAAGAAGTTTTATTTGCAGTTAAAGTCACTGAAGGCATTACTAAGATATTTCCTTCCACAGTTGGAGTAAAACAAGGCTGCATTCTAAGCCCTACCTTATTTTCTTTTTATATAAATGATTTAACCTCCAGGTTTGATAACTCATGTGATCCTGTAACATTACATGACATAAAATTGTCTAGTCTTTTATATGCTGATGACTTAGTATTAATATCAGAATCTTCAGAAGGTTTACAAAATTGTCTAAACAAGTTAAACACTTATTGTGAAAAATGGAACTTGACTGTCAATCTTGACAAGACGAAAACAATGATATTTAATAAAAGTGGAAAAAAACTTACTAAAGACAAGTTTGTATTAAATAATGAAGTAATCGAATGCTGCACAGAATATAAATATTTAGGTATACTATTCAAGCCATCAGGAATTTTCACTAATGCTGTAAATCTTCTCTGTAAAAAAGCTTCAAAGGCATTGTTTTGTATTAAAAAAATCCTTTACTCAGATAAGATTGATGTTTTTTCCAATATGAAACTTTTTAATTCGTGTGTTAGCCCAATATTACTGTATTGTAGTGAGATATGGTCACTAAATATTGTGAAGAACAACAAAACTCTTGAATCTCAATACTTATCAATGGAATCAGTAAAACTCAAGATCAAATTTGCGAAAAGTCTTTTTAATGTTAATTCAAATGCAGTAAATACAGCTGTATTAGCTGAATTGGGAATGTACCCTATTGGTATACAGGCCCTTAAGCCTTCTGTAGGATTTTGGTTACATATTTTAAATTCAAATGAAAATGAGTCTTTATTATATAATGTTTATAAAGTTAACAAGCAGTTATTTGATGGATTTGCGTCAAAAATTAAAATCCTACTATCAAAATTGAATTTCACTCATGTTCGGGAAAATCAATGTACCTTTTCTAAAAAACGATTACTTTTAGCCCTCGTGAAGAAGCTCAATGAAAATTACATTATATTTTGGAAAAATTGTCTCTTTAATGATGATAACTCAATAAATAGAAATAAACTAAGAACCTACAGAAAATTTAAAGATACAACTTACTATGTTATATATAATCATAATATTTGAATTTATAATTTTATAGAGGAGGCATGCTGTCAAAAATAGTATTATACTTAATATTAATAATCTTTATTTTTTTTTTCAATGCTACATGTTTGTATTGTTTAATGTCCATCGTTTTGTCATTAATATGCCTGTCTGTCTGTTTGTTTGTTTTGTTTTGGTTTTGTGTTGGTTTGTTTAGTTAGTAACAATCCTATTGTTTGGATTTTAAACTAATAAAATTCTTATTCTAATTCTTATTCTATGAAATTTTTTAAGAAGGTTCAATACCACAAAAGGAAGGTAGGGATTGATTTTGGGGATGAATGTCCCAACCGTTTAGGAAATAGGGCCCAAAAGGGGACCAAAACAAGTATTTTTCTAGTTTCAGGATAATAACTTGTGTACAAGTATTTCGATTGCTCTTAAATTGTACCACAATGTTTCATATTACAAGTAGAAGGTTTGGGATTCATTTTAGGGGTTATGGGGCCAACAGTTTAGGAATTAAAGGCCAAAAAGGGGGCACAAACAAGCATTTTTCTAGTTTCCAGACAATAACTTGTGTGTAAGTGTATGAATCTCTCTGACATTGTACCACAAGGTTCCATATAACAATGGAAAGGCTGTGATTGAGTTTGGGGTTAATTGCCCCAAACATGCAGGAATTAGGGGCCAAAAAAGGGCCCAAAACAAGCATTTTTCTAGTTTCCAGACAATAACTTGTGTTTAAGTGTATGGATCTCTTTGAATTTGTACTACAATGTTCCATACTACAAAGAAAAGGCTAGGATTGAGTTTTGGGATTATTGCTCCAAGGGGGGTTTTAAAAAAGTTGGGGGGGGGGGGGGTAATTTTTTTCCAATTTTTTTAAGGGATTCATATTTTTTTTTCAAAATTTTTAAAATTTAGAATTTTTGAAAAGTTTCAAAAAGAAATCTTCAATTGCACAGTATTGCGCAATAGATTTGTAAGATCTTTGGCCACATTTATTTTTTTGTCAGAAACCTATATTGTTATGTCAAATTTTTTTTATCAAAATCCAAATTCAGACAGTATCAAGCTTGCATATTGTGTCCAAATTTGCCCAAACTGTTCAGGGTTCGACCTCTTCGGTCGTATTAGGCTGCGCTCAGCGAAGCATTTTATTAAATAAGCTTGACATTAGATGACATACTTGTAGTGTTACTAAAAATAGTACAGTTTCTCATATAACTATCTCATTATGGTAAAAGAATCGGTATACTGTGTAAATGTAACAGATGTTTTCGACTCTACTTATCTTGATTATTAAGAGCATAATACAATGTAGGTGACTGATAACCTTAAAATAAAGTAACAGTTTGAGCAAACTTACTGAGATATTAACATGATTAAGTTGTGTGGATTAAGTAGACTCAGCTAGTACTTACATTGTAGTTACTGGTTAGAATAATTAACTATTTGTGTCCAAAAAGGCTCCCTTATTAGCTGCCCATCTCATCTTAATTCCCACTGCCAGGTTTGCTATCTCTTAGTTTGGTCGTTCAGTACCATCTGGTATCATGCACTATGGATAATGAAAGCGAGTCTTCTTGCTTGAAATTCTATTTGTAACATGAGATCAATCGAAACTCTGTATTTCTTATGTATTTTTGTAAAGCCCATAATCACTTTTTTGACAGGAAGAAGTCATTTTATTCTGGCTTGTTTATGTCAGAGCTCTGACTGATAATTACTTGCATTTTCAGTTCACTGGTTAGTTCTTGTCTTATTTCACCATTTGAAAGCAAGAAATGCTCGTCAACTTGAAATATAACCTGATTCGTTAATGTAAATTTTGAGACCTATACTATTATGAAAGGCTATAAATTTTCTGTTTTCTCATTTGCTAAAAGCCTAGGGAATCTTTTTTTGCAAAACATAATGACTGTGGGAAAAATCATGAGATTAATATTTAAGAATTGGAACAGCTAACCTGTACCTTAAAATAGTTATTCCAAGGTACATGTTACATCAATTGTTATACATTTTCTTTTTTTTTTTTTTCGATGTTATAAATGATTCCTAGGCATGCTAGGTGTCTCTTTCCAGCTGGTAAATTTTATTGAATATTTCATCTTATAAAAGTAACCAACTGTCAAAGCAAATAATATATATATTATAAAATTAGGATCAGTTAAATATCTCAAGCAAATACTCAAAAATTGGAGATGGATCAAAAAGTCATATTATAAGATTGTTGACCTGATAAAATGATTAATTAACCCCAGAGATGTAATATTTTACCCCCTTGGAAAACTTTGTGCAATCAAATCTCCGCAATAATAATTCGCAAAAATATCCCCTTTTACAGGATATATACATAGATATTAGAAGATGTGGTATGAGTGCCAATGAGACAACTCTCCATCGAAGTCACAATTTTTAAAAGTAAACCATTATAGGTCAAAGTATGGTCTTCAACACAGAGCCTTGGCTCACACCGCACAGCAAGCTATAAAGGGCCCTAAAAATTACTAGTGTAAAACCATTCAAAAGGGAAAACCACCGGTCTAATCTATATAAAAAACGAGAAACGAGAAACACTTATGAACCACGTCAACAAACGACGACTACTGAACATCAGATTCCTGACTTAGGACAAGTGCACACAATTGCAGCGGGTTTAAACGTTTTAATGGTACAAAACCTTCACCCTTATCTGAAACAATAGTGTAACATCAAAACATAGAAAGACACACTATAAAATATCAATTGAAATGGCTTAACTCAATCAAAAGACATACACATATATTTGTCCTCTTATTCATTGTATTATTAAATTTCAGGTGACAATGGAAACAAAGATGGGGAAATCCTTGCCAGACCGCATGAAGGATATGTTAGATAACCAGCTGATGTGTGACATTACGTTCAATGTCGGACCAAACAAGTCACCAACCAAAGCACATAGGTACATGCTCGCCAGCGCTAGTCCTGTGTTTTACAGAATGTTTGACGGTCCTTTGGCAGAAAAGGGGGTTGTTGATATTCCCGACGTCAGATATGAAGATTTTAGTTTAATATTACAGTATGTTTCATTTATGATAAACACAGGTAGTTTGATATATTGAAAGGCATATGATACAGTTTTGATTCTACTGTGATTTTTGTTTACGAAAATGTGCATACAACATGTATAAGCATTTTTTTCACCTAGTCATTTCAAATGTGTAATAAGATATATACCTTCATGTGCTACTTTTGGAGATATATGGGGTCAAAATTTTATACATTTACTCAAATTTTTTGTTTCTCGAATATTTCTATCCATTTGATAGACATACCTAACTTTTTTGTTTCGAAAGGACTTTTATAAAGAACATTTTGAATATTTTATTTACAAAAGTGTGCCCTAAATTTGTGCAACAATTCTGTGGAAATAATTCATTTTCATTAACTTTTTCAAAAGTTTAGATAAAACATGGCACTTTTTGTGGTATATTTATTTGATTTTAAAATCGGTGATTTGTTACAAATGATATTCATACATAATCAAGCCAAATGTCATTTTAAAAAAATAGTTATTAAAGTGGTCACTGCACTCGTTTTCAAGCTTATGATAACAATGAGTTCGAAAAATTCATCTTTCCCAATATGTCACAGTTTTACGTTGCGAAAAAAAACATACGTTATTTGACGTCATTATCTCCCCTGTACCTGTATTGTATGCTCTTAATGAATTGCTATTTTTATAAATAATTCATCATTAGGCAGTAAATGTCGAGAAGAAACTAATGCACTTTTAGAAAGTAATCTAAAAGGTCAAGCACACAAAGTATTTCACTCTACAGATTTCCATAGGGCACATTTGTTCCCTTATGAAACATCAGGTAATTCGTTCATGTGATTTGCATTCTCTCAGGAAATAATGTTTTATCTATAAATTTCCATAGAAAACATAATCATCTTTCGCCCTGGTTTCTGCAAGGAACATTTTTTTATGGTATTTGAATGTGCTGTAGCAGGAAATAATTGAAACTGATATGATATCTTTAAATTTTGAACAAGTGTGGACACAGATGAGTGTGGGTAGTGCATGTTTGATTAGTGTTAATGTATTTGACTTTGTTGGTATCAAAGGTTTAATCCAATGAAGTATTGTTCTGGTGGGGTGTACATATTTATCTGACTTGTATATGTCTTGTTATTTATCTTGTATATATGTTACTGTCTGCAGACATCAAGGCGTTAGACATTTATATCCATTTAGCGGATATCCGTTATAATAATAGTTGATGTCCATTAACTGCATTCTAGTATGTGCAACATTGCATCCTGTAATTACATAGTACAATCTTTTTTCTTAAAAATGTGTTTATTGTAAAGGTAATGGTTTCTCTTAAAAGCTTGTTGTGTCAAAGCTAATTATATTCAACATTTTTTTTGCATGAATAACAAAATAAGGAATTACATTTTTAGAGTTTGAATTTGGGCAGTTAATCATTCTAGAGTAATATGCCCCCTTATAACTTGGAAAATTGCAATTTTTTTCGTTTCAGAACTAACTTAAGTTTGCCTCATCCAGATTTTATGAAATTCATACACAATGCTAAAAATCACAACACACAATCAGAGTTCGAATTTGGGTAATGAGTCATTTACCGTTCTAGAGTTATGCCCCTTTTTGACTGGGAAAATTGCAAATCTAGAGAGGGGGCATTCATGTCCTGAGTCACATTCTTATTTTATTTTTAGGGTTGGTGTACCTATTCTATAGAAAACAAGGAAAGTAAGGTTATTGTTAAATCAAATGCGTTTTTTTTCCTTTTTTGGCATTTAGCTATATTAAACTTTTTTTTGATTCCAAAATCTAGTTGTTCTGGTTTTCCTATCCATGCATTTTTCATTAGACTTTTTTATTTACTTTTTGTTGATGTTAGACAGATTTGCCTATTTCCCTTCATCTATTTCGTTCATAAATTTAATATCGAATATTTGGCCATGAAGTGTATAGAACTTTGAATATTTAAGAATACATTCATATATTTCACAAAGCATGCTAAGTAACTTTAATTGTTGCCCTCTCGCATTGCACTTCTGCACAGACACTAACTATAAATATTTGGAAAAAATGCAGAGTGCAGGTTGTTAAAATCTGCTTATGTTTGCTTTTTTGTCTCGCCTTGACGGAGTCAAAAAGCGAGACATAGGTATGCTGTTACCGGCGGCGGCGACGGCGACAGCGTCAACAATGTATTAGTTTGTGATTAGGTCTAGTTCATGGTGAACCACTAGTGGTAGGTCAATGATATTTGGTATGCAGTTATATTAACATTGGCACATCTCATTACCATGGAGATTATTGGGCCCTGCCCCGTCAGTCAAGGTCTATTGACTTTGAAACTTTGCCTAGTTTACATGTATTAGTTTGTGATTAGGTCAGTTTATGGGTAACCACTAGGGGTATGTCAATGATATTTGGTATGCAGTTGTATTAGCATTGGCACATCTCATTACCATGGAAATTATTTGGCCCCGCCCCCTTAGTCAAGGTCTATTGACTTTGGAACTTTGCTTAGTTTACATGTATTATTTTGTGATTAGGTCAGTTTATGGGGAACCACTAGTGGTAGGTCTATGATATTTGATATGCAGTTGTATAAGCATTGGCATATCTCATTTCCATGGAGATTATTTGGACCCACCTCCTCATTCATTGTCTATTGATTTTAAAACTTTTGCTTAGTTTTCATGTATTAGTTTGTGATTAGGTCAGTTTAAGGGAAACTATTAGTGGTAGGGCAATGATAATTGGTATGCAGTTGTATAAGCATTAACACATCTCATTTCCATGGAGAATATTTGGTCCTTACCCCTCATTCATGGTCTATTGACTTTGAAACTTTTGCTTAGTTTACATGTATTAGTTTGTGATTAGAGCAGTTTAAAATGAACCACTAAGTCAATGATACTCGGTATGCAAATGTATTGACATTTGCAAGTTTCATTTCCATGAAGATTATATAAGCCCACCCCTTATATATGGTTCATTGACTTTAAAACTTTTAAATAGTTTACAAGTTAATGTTTGTGTTTAGGTGTGTTTAAAAGGGAACGATTTATGAAAAGTCAATGGTATTTGGTTTGCAGTTGTATGAGCATTGGCACATCTCATTTCCATGGAGATTGTTTAGTCCTGTACCTTCAGTCATGGTTCATTGACTTTGAATATTTGCATACCTTACATGTTTAATTATTGCTATTTTAATTTCAACATTTGCATTATCAAAATAACAAATAGACGAGACATATCTTTGTGTTAACAGTTTATGTTCACAATGTCAAATCTGGTTTCTCTGTGCATAGTTATTTAAGTGGAGACTCAGAGAGGCGATTGCCACATGGGTCCATGCTTGGATCTATTTTCAGCTCACCAAATTTTTCAAAGTACACACATTTGTGGTCTGGCTTTACTTAAATATATATTTATTTGATTTTTGCTTGCTGCAGACGCTTTGTTTACAGTTGAATGCTTATGCTTCATTTTTATTAACATGATTAAATTTCTTAATTATCACCCATATCTTTAATTTAAGATTTTTAATTATGTTTAAAATGGCTCATACTCTTATTTTTTATAGTGCTAATTAATGAATTACTGTGTCTATTAATTTCAAATTTTAATCATGATTTTTATCTATATTCTTAATTTTCTTGGTGCTTATTCCAAATTTTTTAGTAGATACTTTTTTTCTTACTTCAAATTTGCCTTAACATATCATTACCAAGACTCACATCTAAATGCCAAATTCTGTGTGAATGCATGGTGTTATTATTGTTTTTCTGTTATTAATATTATTTTTATATTAGGTGAAAAGCTCTATCGAGCTTGTGTTGTATAGTTTTAAAAAAACGCTGAAGCAAAATAAAATTTTCTCAACCTAACTAATCTTTCAATAGCTGTGAATCCGTAGCTCTAAGCTACGGTTCTGCAGCTTATCCATCAAGAGATGCTTTGCATTGTCACACTTACTCTTACAATCGAAATTTTGCTTTTTCAAGAATTTTGTTTTTGTTGTTAGCCTATTCACTTTGGAGAAGAATTAATACTCAAAAGAGCGGTATAACAAGAATTATTATTGGCTGCTAAAATAAATTAAAAAAACCAAAACAATCACTTGTTAGATATGTACGACGACTTTACCAAAATAAAATGATTGAATTAATACAATGTGTCCCTTCATTACTTTGTCCCATTTAAATAATCAGGAAAATACTTATTTTTTAATAAAGTAAATTTGTTTTGTGAAAACTGAATTTTCTATTTTCTACTAAACACTTTTGATAGTTTATAATGTTGTGTGTACAACTTAATAAAAATAATTGTTCTGAAGTGTGAACTTAACATTCATTTTAGCGGTGCACCTGTTTAAACATGGTTTTATTATATGTTTTTTATTTTGAACTTTGAACAATGGAGCAGAAAAAAAAGCTGTTTTGAAGGAAAACAAATCTTTGATTTTATCCAGAGCCATTCCAGTAGACAGGAAATATTCGATAAATAGATGGAAGACGAATATCGACCTACCGATGTTTTAGATACAAATGTAATAATTAGCCCTCCGAAATCTGCAAAAGGGGGAAATAAGAAAGTTTCATAGCTTTTAGAAAGTAATTAAACAGTATCCATTAATGCAACTAAAAATTAACAATTTCGTGTTCATTTATACAAATGTTGATTATGAAATAGAGATGGAGTATTAATTAATATACTCTGGGAATAAACATTACATGTTATTTAAGATCACAAACGTACATGATGGGGGCGGATCTAGGATTTTTAAAAGGGGGCGTAATTCCAGATAATTTAAGATATGGCTAAGTGAAAGGAGAATTGTCTTTGAAGATTTTATACTTCAAATACATATGTGTCGTGATAACATGATATTTTTATTTTGTTGGCAACCCCCAGGATCCTGTACTCATGAGATAACGACGATGGAATTTAAATTTAGTTTCTTTGCAAAAAGGAAAAAAAAATTGGCGAAAACTAATTGAAAGTGGCAAAAGGATTTATTTTGGCGAAAGGGACGGTGAAAAAGAAAATTTACCCAAAGGAAACCCTTGAAAGTTGAAAAGGTTATATAGCAAAATGTTTTTTTTTTTTTTTTTTTTTTTTTCAGGTATATATATACTGACACAATAGCTTTGGACTTTGAAAATGTTGGAGGAGTTGTATATGGATCAGACAAGTATATGTTACAATCTCTGAAAGACCAATGTAGTAAATTTTTATCTACAAATATAGATATTGAACATGCATGTACTGTATTTCAAACTGCACATGATTTCCAAATGAAGGAATTGGAAGAGAAAGCACTGAATTTAATTCTAAAGAAAGGAAGAGGATGCCTAAAATCACTTGATTTCCTACATTTATCTGCGGAATGCCTTCAACTAATTGTACATTCTGATAAATTAGTTTGCGAAGAGGAAAATGTCTTTGAAAGGATGATCTTATGGGCAAAACAGAGGTGTGAAGAACAAAGTATATTGATGACAGATCACAACATAAGACAATCTCTTGGTGATTTATTATACCTTATACGATTCCCTTGTATGGATCCAAATTTTTTCACGGACGAAGTTTCATCGAAGTGCATTCTTACCCTTAAGGAAAAAGATGAGGTTTATAAACATTTCAATGACAAACAGACTGACATTTTCTCTTCGAAGGGTCGCCTATCCAAGATTGTTCGTGTTCAAAGGTGTAAAGTAGATACAAGTACTATTTGGGGTTATTATGGTCTAGATGATCATTGTGTTGATTTCCAAACGTCGAAAGATGCGGAATTGTCATCCGTTCTTCTGTTTGGATCTGAAAAGTATTCAGGCTCCAGTGAAATAACAATCAATATCTTACATGGTTGTTCTGTTCTTAGTACCAAACAAACAAAAATAAACTCTATCTCAGGCCAAGAAATTTATGAAATATGGTTAGAACCTTCAGTGAATGTAAATGCACAAACTCGATACACTGTACATTTAAATATGAAAGGGCCTGCTACTTTTAGGGGACAAGAATATATTCAGAAAGTTACGAATGGAGGTGATTTTGCTATTACATTTTTGCGTCCTTTGTTAACTTCAGGTAAAAATACAAATGAAGCACGAGGGCAAATACCCGGTCTTGTTTTTCAAGTGTAGTTTAACAGCATTGTAATTCGGTTTCTTTACACTCTATTTTATTATTTCGTTTCTTTATCTAGCCTATATCATGTTTCAGTTTTCTCTGTTTATATCTATTCGAAATACTTAGCCTGTATCAGGTTTCAGCTTTCCATATTGAATATTTATTCGAAATACTTAGCCTGTATCATCTTTCAATTTCCTTTTTTGAGTACTAATTCTCATTTGAAAAGGTTTTTCAATTGATTAATGCCATTATTTTAGTCTCAAGTATGTTCCAAATGTAAACATGGTAAATTCTTGATTTTCAAAAATTACATTTTTATTATTCATTTCGTATGATATGTAGGTGTCCGGTCCGTTCGCTCCCAATACACGTTCGCATACGTTTGTACAATGTTGTACAATGTGTTTTTAAAAAAATATTTTATACTCTTTTAAATTTTATAAAGTAGTTACTCGAAACATTGTAGTGTTGTTTTTTAAATGAAATATTTCATGATTTGAATGATTGTGTACTGTTAAAGTGCATGAAGTAGTTACGCTAAATATTTAGTGCTTTTTGTTTTGGAATAGTACGTGCATGATTGTGTGAGCTTAAAGTTTATGATTGTTTTGAATAATTGTTGGAATGTATGATATAATGAATAGAAATAAATCAGATGTATAACTTAAGTTCTTAAGTTCTTTACCTTCATAGTGTACCTTCAAGCTTCTTTTCATATGGGTTTATATAATAAATGCTCTATAATGTACATGTAGCTGATAACTGTAAGACAACACCAATAAAACATATATATATATATGCTGGTACTTTCAATATTCTTTAAACATGGAGTGTAGGTATAGCTGGCTGACATGCAACCCAATGAACAGCTAAAAAGACGTGTGCTTTGTGCCCTGGTTTTTGTGTAGTTCGTTGTTGAAGTGACAATGCCATTGTGACGAGTTTGATCGCCGTTTGAAAGCTTCCGTCTTTCATTTACAAGTCTTAGATGATTGAACTTTGACTTGATCATCTTCTTTCTCCAGTGAAATAACAATTAATATCTTCTATGTTTGTTCTGTTTTTAGTACCAAACAAACAAAAATAAACTATCCCAGGCCAAGAAATCTATGAAATATGGTTAGAACCTTCAGTGAATGTAGATGTAGACACTCGATACACTATACACTTAAATATAAAAGGGCCATTTACTTTTAGGGGAAACTAATATGTTCAGAAAGTTACAAATGGAGGTGATTTTGTTGTTACATTTTTGAGTTCTTTGTTGACTTCAGGAAAATATACAAATGAAGCACGAGGACAAATACCCGGTCTTGTTTTTCAAGTGTAGTTTAACAGTATTGTAATCCGGTTTCTTTATATTCTATTTTATTAATTCATTACTTTACCTAGCCTGTATCATTTCTCAGTTTTCTTCACTTCATTTAAAATACTAAGCCTAGATCAGGTTTCAGTTTTCTCTTTAGTATATGTATTCGAAATACCTAGTCTACATGTATATCAGGTTTCAGTTTTCCTTATTGAATATTCATTAGAAATACTTAGCCTGTATCAGGTTTAATTTTTCTAAATTGAATATTCAGTCGAAATACATTTGTACTAATAATTAACCTGTATCAGATTTCAGTTTTCTTTTTTGAGTATTAATTCGCATGACATTTCTACTGCAGACTTATTACACTGAACTCTTAAAATGTAAATTAGTTTACTTCCACATTATGAGCATATACATTGTAGTAAATTGTGACTTCAACATTAAGGTATGTGTTTATCACATGAATAAAACTAGAACTACAAAAAAATTGTCAAAATTACTGTAAATTTTTTATTTAATTCTGCTTTTATTGGTTTAAATTGCTAATCAAATACCAAAAATTACTAGATATTAAAGCAATATAAAATGTTATATTAGACACCAAATGATGCAAATACATCAAACAAAACAGATTTTATAAATGTATGTTCACTATGTTGGAAAAAAAGATGTAATGATTACGCATACATGTAGATTCACATCTGACCTTAATTATTAATGATGGTATGTTTTATTTTTTATGAGATTTGTTTATGTTTGATGTTTCAAATACTACAATTTTTACCTCCAGTGACCATAGAATAAAGAGTTTATCTTTTATGTTGAATATGTAGGTGTGTTAAAAATTGTGCCACGGTTTTCATTTTGGTGACCTGCAGTTTTATTTATTCATACTGCATTTACTAGTCCCATTTTTATATATGTTCTATTTTTTATGAGTTTTTTTTATTTTTGGTGCTTTAAATACTACAGTACAATACTTATCTCCATAAAAAAATGAGGCTACATTTGTACATGTATGGATGTTATGTATTTGTCTCTATTTGTCCTTAAACATATAAAGTAGTGTTCCCGATCTGTTTAAGTCCAATGGAAAAAAATATTACCTTCATAAATGTACATTTATTGGAAAAGGGAGATATGCCACCAATGTTTCTCATTCATTCATGATATTGTTATTGTTATTTCATGTATTGATAAATCCCTTTTGCAATTTTTTATGTTTAGTTCTCAATGACAAGATGTGTTAAAGGTTGTATTTTTGTTTTTCATTTTGTTGATATGTTACTTTATTCATACAAGTCTCATTACCAATGAATTCTGAAGTTATTCGAATCAAATAAATTGTGTTAACCGTTAGTATTTCTTTTAAAAGCCATCACATTTTACGTAATACGTATCTGTACATTTATCTGTACTTTAATTCAGTAATTTATGTAATGTTTTCATCTGAGAATGTGAAAAATATTGCAGTAATTAGAATAAGCATTTCAAATTCTGCCAAATAGGTTCGTTGGGTAATAAATATTGTCTGGTTCACACTAATTTATTCGTTTTATTATAACCGGAATTTAAAACCAACATAAATAAGATCAAGATTATTCCTGAATTTACAGTTCTGACTACTACGTCAAAGAAGTTCCAGAAACCAAGAGTAAAAATATGAAAACAGGAACCATGTCAAATTGTATTTCTCCAATGGAATTGTGGTGTATACTTTGTACAAAAACAACAATTCTCCCTCTCAATCTTTTATCATGTTTGTCACTTCTCCCCTTTTATTTATTTATTTGTTATTTTTGTTATTTTTTTTTTTTTTCAATTTGAAAATTAAAAAAATCATGACCCCCCTTCTTCCAACATAAAGAAACCTCTGCTCCCACTTTTCCAGGTTCCAAATTCCCTCCTCCCCCTCTCCTCTTTATTTGCCACCCCTGGAGATAAAAAATTACCGGTCCCTAAATGTTCATGATCAGTTTCACTGTAAAAACGGAGAACTTTTCTCTGTTTTACAAAATAAAGATAGTTTTAATGATATATGTTTTCTTTTGTCATTTACGGGAGCTGTTGATTATGGATCCGTCTTAATCTCTCGTGGGTTTATGCATCACTTCTAGAAAGCCATATTGGATTAGAACAAATCATATTTTAATATCACTTGTTACTTGTTTAAGACCGTGTCTTTACCTCTAGAAGTCTTTTGTTTTTATGTATATGTAGTTGGATTGTTGTTACATTTACGAATACGCAAAACAAAATCCTTTTATTCACCTCATGGTTTTTGTTGTTCCTCATCTTACGATACCATACACTGTGTTTAGACTTTTATTTACAGGTTGATTTCTGTTACTAGTATATTAATGTTCGGTTGCAAATATTTAATGCATGTTAAGGACGATATTTATTTCAGACAATGCTATATAATGAATCATCATCGTTTCGTATAGTTTTAAGATGAAAAGGTGGCAACGGTGCAATAAAGTAAATAACATAATCGTTGGTAGTCAATTAATACCATACATGAAAAACCATCTTAAAGTATAACACTGAACACTCAACCGAAAAATAAACATACAAAACATTCGAAGACAAATAATCATAATCATTTATACGAAGGTAGTTTGAACATATAAAAACAATAGCATAGATATTCATAGTGAAAAATACAAGAAACGAAAATGATAAAGAGTAAATATTCGTTTGCGGAATTTTTGTTCAAATTAAAAAGAAGATTTTTGACTGAGGCCAAGATATAAATGGATATACAGATTATACATGAGGAAATATAGAAAGGGGGGGGGGGGGGGGGTTCAGAAAAAATATTGTTGCTATATCATTGTATTAAAGATAAGCATTTACAAGCCTTTCTTGTTATGCGAATTTTCAGAAAAAATATCTAATCTTCTTTTCGAGGGATGGAGTGTGTCTTAAAAAGGAATCACTTCAGGCTGAAACTAGAAGATCAAGCAACAGTATGCTCCAAGTTTTAATTATGTTGTATCTCATAATTTTTTTGGAGATGGATGAAAATAAACAAGCTTTAAGCAATGTTTATAAAATGAGGAGATGTGGTACGATTGCCAATGAGACAACTATCCACCAAAGTTCAAATGAAGTGGACGTAAGCAATTATATGCAAGCGTACGGCCTTCAACAATTGTTTGTTTATCGGCGGAACCTATTATATATAATGTATTGTTTTATATAGCATGATTTCATTTATTCAATAAAATATCGTTTAAACCATGACCCGAATATCTCAATCGATACTGTAGCACATAGTTTCAAAAGATCTGTAACTCTTGGCTACATTTGTACATGTAGGGATGTTATGTGTCTGTCTCTCTTTATCCTTTAAACCTTAAAAAAGCCACCGATGGTTCTACTTCAATATATTGTTATTGTTATTATTAATAATCACCTTTTCAATTTGCAATTGTTTATGTTTAGTTCTTAATGCTGAGATGTGTTAAAGGTTGTGTATTTGTTTTTTCATTTTGTTGATATGTTACTTTACCATACTAGTCTCATTACCATTGAATTCTGAAGTTATTCAAATCAAATAAATTGTGTAAACAAGTTTGTATACCTTTTTAAAAGCCATAGTATTTTATGTAATACGTATCTGTTCACATATACTCAACTGTAAATTCAGTAATTTATGTGATGTTTTTATCCAATAATGTGAAAAATGCAATCAGATATTGCAGTAATCAGACTAAGCATTTAAAATTCTGCCAAATAGGTTTGTTAGGTTACAAATATTGTCTGGTTCACACTAATTTATTCTTTTTATTGTAACCAAAATTTTAAACCAACATAAAAAAGATCAAGCATAAAGAAACCTCTGACCCCCCTTTTTTCAGGTACCAATTTTTTTCTGACCTCCTCTTTATTTGCCGTCCCTGGAGATAAATAATGACTTATCCCTTACCGATTGTATCAGGCTATATTCAAATATTCAGATCAAACAGTTTTACTGTTAAAATTGAAAAGAACTTTTCTCTGTTTTACAAAATAGAGATTTTTTTAATGATATATGTTTTCTTTTTTCATTTACGGGAGCTGTTGATTATGGATCCGTCTTAATCTCTCTTGGGTTTATGCATCACTCCTAAAAAGCCATATTGGATTAGAACAAATCATATTCTAATATCCCTTGTTACTTGTTTAAGACCGTGTCTTCACCTCTAGAAATATTTTGTTTTTATGTAGTTGGGTTGTTGTTACATTTACGAATACGCAAAACGAAATCCTTTTATTCACCTTACAGTTTGTTGTTATTCATCATCTTACGATACCATACACTGTGTTTAGATTTTTATTTTGACGATTGATTTCTGTAATATTAACGGTCGTGGCAAATATTTCATGCATGTTCAGGACTATATTTATTTATGACAATGCTATATAATGAATGAGGAAATATAGTAACTATATCATTGTATTATAGATATGATTCAGAAATAGTTATTTACGGGACTTTTTATGGGAATTTTCAGGGGAGGGAATCTATTTTTTCAATAAACATCGACATATTCAGGTTCTTTGCCTAAGCTTATGAAATTCGAAGGATGGAGTGTGGCACAAATAGAAGTCACTTGAGGCCAAGAACCTGAATAGTTATGTCGATATATACTGTTAGCATAGAGATCCTAAAAGTTCTGGAACTTTTGATAGCAACATTATACAACAATTCATGTTTATCATGTCCATAGGGAATGGAGCACAGATCAGTGCTTATTTCCGTGACGAAATGGAACGAGCACACATGTCAAATGTAAAGAATAACTTATGCCGTGCTCGACGCCTGTTATGATATCACATGTACGTAAACACCGAGAACATTTTCGGGTCTTTAAATACGTTGATGGTTCAGGTTGAAATGAGTTTAAAGAAAGATATTCAAAAATTATACATCATTTTTAAAATGTATTGGTATTGCAAGTTACATGTAATTGTTACAAATAACCTCCGATTAAAAAACAAATCACCCCTGTTTGATAAGATTATTTTCTGTGCCCAACAAGACTACAAACAGAGTCAAAATAAAGCAGTATGATTTCCAGGCATTTTTTACTCTAATAAGTGTAAACTATTATAACTACTTATGATTCATCCAAGGTCACTCCCGGTTGAAAAACTTTTTCAAAGTCACATACATACCCCCAATCATTATACATAGGAAACATGGCTTTGTGTTGTTTCAGTCAAAAATTAATATAGATAAAACTTTAATTTAAAGAATACTCCATTGGGTTCTTAGATGAATATGAGTAACTATCATTGGGAACATTCATAATAACGATAGTGGCACAACATGGAAGCGTGACTATTAGCTATGCTGTGTCCTCCGTTTTACTTTAAGATCGGTGTTTGATTGCGTAGGAAATTCACTCAAGTATTAACTGTATAGTCATGATCTTAATGAATTGCCGTCCACATTTTTGTGTCGGAACTTCAGTTCCTGGAAATTTCCAGGATCTGTTGATTTGTAATTGATTTTCCTTAAGGCGTTTTTTTTTTTTTTTTTTTTGGTTGCTTTAATACAAGAATAAACGGATATTTTATGGAAAATCCAAAAGGTTACATAACTTTTCTGGATAAATCACAGACCTTGCAAATCTCCTACAAAACGTAAAGATTGCCTGAAAATTGGCTCAGTTATACATTTTGCAAAGAGTAAATATGTTAATAACTGCTGGATGAAAATGATTCACAGATTTTTCCGTAGTCAATTCAATTCAAATTGGTATTTTTCAGAAAATTTATTGTGCTCGACTGCTTTTCGTTGCTGAACCCCTTGGTCACACATCTTTTTTCATGTTTTTTAAAGCAGTCCGTGGTACTTTTTGCCATTCATTTTGGTTTCATGATCGCATTTTTTGCTTTTTATTATAAAAAAAATCCGCAAATTGCATGGCACATGCTTAATAGTCATTCTTCTTTCAAAATAATCCGATACCTTTAATACATGTAATATGGCTAAACGGATTATGAATTACCGATAAATGTTATTCAATTTCCAATTTCTCCCAAGTGTCGAGAGTTATTGAAAATATCTTTTTGTTTAGGCTTGGACAATGACGAACCGCACGAAACCAAACATAATATTATTTGTAGGAAAATAATTATATATTTCAGTAATTTTCTGATATTATAAAAAAACAAGTTAACTTTGCAAGGGAAGACGCAGAATTTTAGAAAAGGGGCATGAAAACAGAATATTTACTGAAATGTTTTTTGACGATTTTATCATCGTTTATGCAAATTATTTGTAATTTTGCAACCAAAAAGGGGTATACGCCTTATATACCCCCTGAATCTGATATAGCTATTAACGGTTCTTTATTTGTCTTCGTCGATTAAATTATGGGTATTTTCATCATTTATTAAATTGTGTATGTTACCTGTGTTTATTTTGTTCTTAGTTTAAAATGTTGGACTTTTTATTCACTATAAATATTGCAGCTATTTATAATCCTTTTAGACTCAGACACGTGACAAAATATATATTTTACTTCCTTCTTGAATAATTGTCATATCTTGTTTGCTTTTAGGTGAGTAAAATAACATTAAACTAAATTCTAAAAAATGTATTTATACCCATGTAAATAAAATAAGAAAATTTATAATTTATTGATATTAACTCCATGATCCTCCATTGTTCTTGTCATTAACCTTTTGAGTGGAAGCTAGTAAGGATAAAAATATGCTCACGTGGACATCTTTGTTCAAATATTTGTCTTTAAACAACCAACCATCAATCAATCAAATATGTTTCTGTGTTTTTGTATTAGTTATTCCAAAAAAAGGGGGGTGACTGTTATAAAAGTACAAATACTTTTTCCGGTTGGACCTTAAATGTTGAATACCTTGCCTGGTTAACTGTTAAATTATTGCTACTGTCCAACATGTTTTTCCCCCCAAATGTCTATTCCTCGTCCTGCTATTTCTAATACAGAACATAATTTTTTGATGATAAAAGTTACTGACATAACTCGTATATATGATAAAATTAGTATTCTGAAGAAACACAACTTGTTGTCTACTTACATAATCTTAATATAAAATTTACAACTGTGATGTATAATTGCAAGTAGAATTAGAGAAATGGGTACACAGTTTAACATATATGTGAAGCTGCAATAGTCTTTTTAGGGCTGTAAAATAAAAGTCATAGATGGATATGCATCTGCAAAACACTAGTACTTACTTGCAAACTGAATACACTTTCTTTTTTTTTTCAATTACCGAAAGCATGAGGTGCAAAAATTTTTGGTCTTTTGGAAAATGTTGTTTGGGCTGTAATTAGACCCCTCTACCAAGACATTTGTTTTTCATGCACACGTATAAAAATTGCGGTTTTTATCCAACGCAATCATAGGTTTGAACGTTGTTTTCAATTTAGACTTATTTGTGTTTGAATATATATATTAAAGCCAACTCATATTTGTAAATTTAAGTAATTTTCTTATATAAATTTGTCTTAACCTAATTATGATAAAAATAATTAGATAAGGGCAAATTATATGCTGTTGCTATGTGCAATGGCCACACAAGACGGATCATATATTTCGCAATATCGGCTTTCGCGGACTGTTTTGACATCAAGTCCTGCCATATGCTTGATGACATCATATCCGATTAAATAATAACTTTATTTGTAGTTAAAGCATAAATGAAGGGAAATAACACTGTGTTATTTTGATGCATCCGAAGCATTTTCTAGGTTTTCCTTTATTGCGAACGTTCAATAGAAACACTTTACAGACTTGGGATAAGAAGAACTTAGGGAGCTATATGAACAAAAGTAACCGACACAATACAGATGATACGATATGAGATTAGGGTGGTGATTGGACTGTAAGGTATCGCCAACGATAAGACAGCAAAACAACTCAACGAAATCACAAAAGACTTAACAGATGTCAAAATCAAACATCAACATGTTGATAGTTTGCTTTCGTTTAGTATTTGATAATACAATAACAAGACAATAAAAATCATCAACCACTAAATACCAATATACATTTAATAAAAATATTGTACTTTTAGTTTTTTCGAAACTATGTTAATTTAAATATAGATTCCACCACTGCATGAAGTGTGTTACGATATTTTCCACTCTCAACAGATAGATTTTAAATGTTTAAAAAAGCTCGACAAGCCTCGCGTTTTAAATTTTAAAATTTAACTGTCTCGAGTGGAAAATATCGTAACACACTTGATGCAATGGTGGATTCTATATTTAACATTTTGACATGGACTCTGACGTTATCTTTTGTTTTTGGTTATATTTGGTTTCACTGTACTTTGTAATTTATTTTCACATTGATTATACCGCGGACCTTCTCCTTCTTTTATTGGTTTTTACATTCTTTTGATCTTGATCTTATGGCGAAAAAATCTTGCTCTTGCTGTCAGCATATACTTACCTGTCTGAAAAATAACAACAACTTATTTAACATATACCTGTGATTGATAACGTTTCTTATATAAGGTATATACCTAAATCTTCCCAAAGGTGACGCAACTGTATACTAAATGGTTTTGCGGAAATATGCTGCGATAAATGAGTCTCAAATAAAGTACAGAACCCGAGCTTGTATTAATTATCACTAACACAAAGAACTTGACTAATACACATACACACATAAATTAATGTATGTATCATGTATGTAAAATTCCTTTTTTTTGGTTTAAATTATTCAATTTTAGATGACAATGGTAGCTCAAACTGATTGGCAGATAGGAAAATCACTGTCAGATCGTATGAAATACATGTTGGATAATCAGCTGATGTGTGACGTCACATTCCATGTCGGATCAGCCAAGTCGCCAATCAAAGCCCATAAGTACATGCTGGCGAGTGCTAGTCCTGTATTCTATAGCATGTTTGAAGGACCATTATCAGAAAAGGGGGATGTTGATATTGTAAACATGACTCCAGAATATTTTGATATGATGTTACAGTAAGTTTATCAAGTTACTTAAATGTAAGTTGATATAATTATTAATTAACAATGTATAAGGCGTAAATCTGGATGAAAAGATTTAAATGTCTGAAGTAGTATCTTGTTTGTAATATCCTGTCTCGTTCGTGCTTTTTAGCGTATTATAAAAAAGAATATATAAAGGAACACGTTAGACACAAACATATTGAAACCTTGATCTACCTCCTTTATCATGTTTATTAGCTTGAGATACCGATTTTCATTTGCGCGATCTTATGTCCTGGAATACACTTAATCTAGGGATAATGTGTAGACAAATCATATAGGATGTTAAAGATCATTACAACAAAAAGCGCCCAAATACAACAGCTTATATGATCTAATGAAAACTTTGTCATACGAAGTTGCAACCTTATAAAAATAAGAAGAATGTGGTATGATAGCCAATGAGGCAAATCTCCACCAGAGACCAAAAGTGGATGCGAGCAATTATAGGCAATCGTACGGCCTTTAACAATGAGCAAAAACCCATACCGCATAGCAAGCTATAAAAGGCTCGAAATGACAAATGTAAAACAATTCAAACAAGAAAACTGACGGCCTGATTTATGTACAAAACAATAAACGAAAAGCAAATATGATATACAGCTACAAACGACAACCATATTGAATTACAGACTTGGGGACATGCACATGCAGAATGTGGCGCAGTTAAAAATGTTTGTGGGCGCGCCAACACTATCCTGGTGTGATAGTACAACAGAAGAACCCACTATAAAAAGTCAGTTGAAAAGGGCTTCACTCATCAGATCGATACAAAGCAGAAAAATCGTGTTTTATTGATTTTATTATGATGACATAATTTATGAACTTAAAATAATATTATTCCAAGGTAAGCAAATGTAATAAAAAATTATAAGACAGTACAAAAGACCACATCACACACCAATAATCAATTTCACCGAGAAAAAAACGTACATATGTAGACCAGCTACACCATATTTAACATATGTCCCTGACATGATAAAAGACGCACAATACTTAAGCTTTAGGGTAAACTACTGTTTGGTATTTTTTGTTTTGAATGCTCTTCAGTTCAAAATTGCTGTTTTGATTTGAGCACCACAGATGACGAAAAACCTCGTGTCTGACGTACTAGCTATAAAAGCGAAAAAGCTTGGTGCTGATGTTTTACAACCAAAAGGTTGATACCCCGATGAATGTTTTCCCCAGCCTGGCAGTAAGTGCTCCATTGTTTTCCATGTTTCCTACATGTACCACTGGCTGCCTAAAATTGATATTGAAATTATGTCAATATCACTCGAAACACCGTTAAAATATGTTAGAAATAGGGGTCATATTAGAGCCATCATTAGAGCCACTTCGAACATTCCTCTTGACTGTTGCAACTCTCCAAACTTATAAACCTCTATGGAGTTATTTTCGTTCAGAACGACAGGTCATTCTTTTGTAGAAACAACCCGGAATATACCAAGTTTTAATGAAATGTGCTTCAAGGCATAAAATAATGTGTAAGGTTATTGTTTTCCCTGATTAAAATGCAAACAACAGTTTTAATACTAAATCGTTTAATTCATTTGATAGTTGTCGTGTGTTGTTGGTGATTAGGGCTTTACTTTTCAATTTGCCATCTTTAATATGTTTTTAGCAGAAGCAATCCTTTCCTCTGTTTATAAGACTGAAATTCTAGAAAACGCATATTTCAAATTTCGAAACAAATAAGTTTTGTTAATTCATCGCTTAAGTAAAAAGACATTGTTGGAGACACATTCGATAATGCAAAACTTTTCATAACACCTTTAAAACAAGTCAAATCTTCTCACATTTTATGTGATGTGTAGGATTTTGTAAAAACAAAAGTATACAATCTTGTATTGGAAATCGTACATTTGTCTGTTTTTCGTGGTAAATTACGATTGTGTGCTCTCTTCGTGTCAGTTCTTGATATTTTACCTTTTACTATATTAAATGACCAAATATTCCCATTTTTGAAGTAAAGGAACAGACACTAACTTCATAATTAGAGGGGGTGTCATAAAATTTTAATATCTTATACTGATACTGTGTATAGTAGCAGACAATGTTTTTGAAAGCTTTTCTGTAATCATTTGATAAGAAACAAAATTTTAATTATAATTAGATTTTATGAAAATAAAATAAGCACAAATAAATGCACACAACGATTATTTACAAATAACCAAAGTTACTAAATACAGTTTACCTGACGGCTATTTACTCATTTACTTTTAATACAGTTCATATTGACACACGAGACAATGATAATAACTGTTAAACGATTTTTAAATTTTATTTTCGAAAAAAAATCGCGAAAATAAATACCCGCGAACTTGTTTGAAATACACAATTCATGAAAATAAGTATCCGCGAAAATAAGTACAATTGCAGTAATCAATTATTGACGAAATAGTTGTGTTGCCAGACAAAAAAAGTAAACTTCATTCTTAATAGTTCGTTAAAAATTATTGAAAAAAAAATAATCCGCAGTAAATATGGCATGAAACAAAAGATAGAAAAAAGATTGCATTCCCCTTTTATAAAATTGATATAATAAATTACTTAAACAGTGACTTGTATTTTTCATACACCGTAACAATTCATTTGTTCCTTTCGTCGTGTAATAACAGTAATATTTTTATTGTAACTGGACATTGATTTCTTTAGCACATACTTACAACTTCTCGTCCAATCAAATTTGGTTAAATTTGTCTTCTAAGTTTCATAGTACATACTTTTTCTGTGTACTAAGTAACTTTGCATGAATGACCGCAAGGGTAAGATTTCATTGTATCGCAATCAAGGGCGATTTAGGAATAAAATGCCGTGTCCCAAATTGAAAAAAATGTGTTTTCAAATAGTTTTCACATTGATTTTATATATCCTGCTATTAAAATCTTCCGTTTAAAAAATATTTTTTACAATTGCATTAAAGACTAACATATATGGTCCTTCATACCTTGATTATAGTACAACGCTATCTTTAATTATTGTGGTAATTTATCATATTGGATGATTCCATGAAATTAATTTGTACACAAAAAAGTATGTTCTATGAAACCTTGTGAAGGGGAATTAAGGCAACTCGATGATGATTTATTTAACTTTGTTAAGGAACTTGATCCATTTAATCCCAAATTGCAAAACCGTGATAACGTCTGAAGGGAATGTGCCACCTATATCTATATTCTGATAAAGCTTTTAGTTTTTACTTTGAAAAAAAAAACAACCTATAATCTTTCAAAATGATCTATTTGTAGTTGCTCTTTAATGCCGAAACGGTAAACTTTCTATGACACATATATATCAATTATTTTTTTCAAAGTTATTATAGCTTTAGTTTTACTGTCATTTTTATTTCAAAACATGTAAAGTTGTAAAGCTCCTACTGCAATTTAATTATATTTGCCGGGTTTTTTTTGTCAGTTTATTTTGTCAGCTTAGTAATACCATGTAAATAAGTACATCTAGAAAGACACCGCTATATATCGATATACATACTTACACCATCTTTTCATTCTGGAGTCTAGGGGAGTTTAAAATCGTATTTTTTATGGGAGAATGACTTAAAAATCGCTATTTTCCCAATTCGTGTTTGCTGCATTTATAAACTCGTGATCTGGTTAATCACTGTCACAAACTGAACAAATACGATGTTATGATACTAGTGAGTAAAATCACAAAACATTAAACTTAGTTAATGAAGTCCGTTTTACAAACACCTGTGATACAAGTAGTCAGCCAAAATAAACTATCAATAGACCAAATAAAAGATTACTTGAGTTGTAAATATGTGCTAAATTGGATAGTCTATGAAAAGGTATATACTATGGAATTAAGTGCTCGGGGTAAGCCTCTCGCTCTAAATTTCATAGTACATACCTTTTCATAGACTAACCGATACATAGTTTGTATCTAGATCACTGAGTTTTATTTCACAATTTAAATTAGCCGCAGGGCGTATTTAAACCTAAACGATGAAAAGAATATCCCACTTTAATGTGATCGGTAAAATAGGATACACTACTGCAAATCTTTGCAAACAATAATACTTTTGACGGTATATAAGTCAGATAATGCATATTTTAAGGTTTTTCTTCTAGTATAACACACCTTTGGGTGTAGGGATTTCCCACATAAAGACCTCCGTACGGTCGGTTTTTCGTTTGATCAATCCTGACACCCTTTGATGTAGTATACGACAAGAAAAACGAGTTTTTTTTTTATGTTTTCTGCTTTGTATCGATCTGATGAGTTAAGCCATTTTCAACTATTTTTTATGGTTTGTTCTTATGTTGTGCCGTAACACCTCTGTCCCAGGTTAGGGGAGGGTTGAGCGCTCAAAATCACGTTTAACTCCGCCACATTCTTTATGTGCATGTCCCAAGTCAGGAGCCTTTGATTCAGTGGTTATCATTGGTTCATGTCTGTCATATGTTCTTTTCGTAAATTGTTTTGTTATAAATCAGGCCGTTAGTTTTCTCAATTGAATTGTTCCATATTTTTCATGTCGGGGACTTTTGTAGCCGACTATACTGTATGGGGTTTTCTCATTGTCGAAGGCCGTACGGTTGCCTATAATTGCTTCATTAAATTTGAACTTGGAAGGATAGTTGTCTCATGCCAAACATACCACATCTCCTTATTTTTATATTATCTAAAACATATTACTATATTATACCTCAATTACCAATTTTAGTGTTCAGGGAACTCAAATAAACATAAAAGTATATCAGAATTTATGCCTTGTCTCAACCTAAAAATGATGATTAAACAGTATTTTTTTATTCAACAGGTATATATACACTGAAAAATTTGTAATAGACTCCAAAAATATCAAAGGACTTCTGTATGGATCAGAAAAGTATATGTTACAAACTCTGAAAGATAAATGTAGTGACTTCTTAACTTCAAGTGTAAATGGAGATCACACGTGTGTTGTATTTCAAACAGCGCATGACTTCAACATGAAAGATTTGGAAACAGATGCTCTGAATTTTATTTTCAAGAAAGGAAGAGCATGCTTTGAGTCCGATGATTTCCTACATTTATCTTCTGACTGCCTCACATTGATAGTTGAATCCGATAAACTGTATTGCGATGAACCAACAATGTACCAAAGGATGGTACAATGGGCCAAACTGAGATGTGAGGAACAATGTATGCCGACGACTGATGAGAACATTAGAAAGAATTTACAAGGTTCTACTGTTCTCAGTACAACACATACAGCATTAAACTCGATTACAGGCCAAGAGATTTATGAAATTCCGTTTGATTATCCAGTCGAAATAGTTGCAAACAATCGATACACTACTACTAGTATTTAAATTAAGATGAAAGGATCTCGCACTTTCAGAGGAAAGAACTATATTCAGAAGATTACGAATCATGATGATTTTTCTGTTACATTTTCCCGCTCTGCACTACCACCGGGCAATGGTACAAATGACCTAGGTGGACAAATACCTGGACTGCTATTTCTTCGATAAGGGGTTCATGCAAACAGGATGCATCTGATAAAAAATAACTATTATTTCAATAAAAGTATGAATAAATGTTTGCATATTACTTTCAAAATTAGTTCAGAGATCGATAGGTTTTTATTGATATGTCTATGTATTTATTTCTATATATACATGTTACAAGGATCTTCTGTGTTCAGTTCTACATCAGCATTTCACTCGATTGAAGGCATAGAAACTTATTAGAAATTCCGTTTGATTAAATGTTATTCTTCGATAAGGGGTTCAAGCAACTGAATGCATCTGATAAATAATAGCTTGATTATTGTTTCAATATAAGTATGAATAGATATTTGCATATCACTTTCAAAATTAATCAAGGTAAAATTGTTCATAATACATCCATTTAAATACTTCTATATATACATGCATATGATAAGAAATAAACTCATCATAAATTACCAGGATTTAAATTTTGTATTTACGCCAGACGCGCGTTTCGTCTACAAAAGACTCATCAGTGACACTCTAATCCAAAAAAGTACAAGTAACGTACTTTAAAATCGTGTTGTGTTCATACTTGCCAAAAATATGGCGGTAGTGGTGGTATAACGTTAACAGAACATAACTTCATGGAGAGTCATCTAGCAGACCATCATAGCATTATCAATTCGTCCAATCCCGCAAAATCAATAGATATCGTTTAGTTAAGACTTTCAGTAAGCTTTTTCCAAGAAATAGTAAGTTTTTTTGACTTGTTTATTGACACCTATTTCATAACGTAATCTTTAGCTGTGCAATGGAGACTATGGAAATGCAACCCGGCCGGAAATTATACCACAACTTTACATGGTATAATTTTCACAATCATATCATTGTTTTGTTGTATCTGGACTTCGAAGAGTCTGAATTTGTTGACATATGAACAAGAGAGTCAGCTTGGGACTACTTAACTAACGTGTCCGCTTTGCACCAGGCGATACAAATGAATACCAAGAGTAGGAATCGAACCACCGTATGCTGACTCCGTTTTCCTATATTTAAAAGTGAACCCAAATTCGATCCACAAAAAAACCCAAGTAACGAAAAACAAAATTATAGATGTGTTCAGTTTTTGTATGAATATTATGCTGGAAAATATAAGTTAATTTTACGAAATACCACAAAACTATTTAAAGTAGACGAAATATCTGTAACTTATTTTTATATTGTGTAAAAACATTGAACACTAAGGATTTATTATGGAGTGTAAAATTTCTTTGAATGTATTGGACAAATGACTGGCTTTTGATAGTTTTTTACATGCCATTGACAATCATAACTTTTTGACTCCCTAAACTGCACTTTAGGTTCATTTGGATATAAGTGAAATTTGAATTCATTTCGTTTTCTTCCATTTTCCTATGACAATACCTATATCTTTATTTTCTCACAGCAAAATCAAATCATCGGTACAGAGGTGCAATCAATTATAAAATACAATATACAATATACGACATGTTTATACCAAACAGCTAATGTTAAAAAGGCACATGTAGTTTTGGCCCACATTTGTTTGTATGCTTGTTTGAATTTCAAAGCATTGTGTGTTGTTTGTTTGTGATTTATGTTAACACAGTTTTGGCTACTGGATCAAAATAATGGTCATCTTATTCAACAATGTACATGTATGTTTGTGTTGCTCACGAAAGGTTGCGAAAATAACGGAACTATAAACAATTGTAAAAAAAATCTGGATGTTTAGCTAGCTATAAAAACAGGTTTAATTAACGTACTTTTTTCTTCAGAAGATGCATGTACGATGTCAAGGATAAGTTTTTTCCATTCTCTCCATTGGTTAATATTGTCGAGTGTTTAAGTTTGTTCCTATTTTATGGACTCTCACTTTTTTTATTTTCCTTGAAGTTCAACATTTTTGTTGAAACTTTAAACAGAGTATAATTAAACATGCATTGAATTATAAGCCATGAAGACAAACACACAAATCCACTTTTTAATATATGTTCAGAGTTTCAAACATTTTAAATGCAGCATACATACTTCTAGTTTTTTTAATCAATTAAAATATATGTAATATGCCGATAAAATGTATAAACTATTAAATTGTTAACCAAACAATTGCCGTTGCTTATTGTTAATAAATGAACTAAATACATCGTCTTGAAAATACATGTGGTATTTGTGTGTGTGTGTCATTTGTAGCTTGATACATGATTTAATGTAACCAAACAGCTTGAATTTGGCTGTTTATTTTAGGTATTTTTGTCATATAGCTCTGCAACGGTTTCGGTAGTTATACATCCTCGAATTTCAAATGTTTGGCTTTGAGCGTTCCTGATGAAGGTAAATCCAGAAAAGCGCTTCGGACGCATGAAATTATTAAACGTGTTGTTTTCAATTTTTTACAAATATTATGCACAGATAAAAATGTAATGATCGTTATTGTGGATAAACATTACAAATTTAAAAAACAAAATCTAAATTGTTTTATATGTGGTCTGGTTGACAATTAAACTACCAGTATCAAATTGTAAATCATGGAAATGGACCAACTGAACTTAACAGCGAAAAATCAGACGGACTATGGTTCTTATAATTATTTCTTGGTTAAACGACAGGAAAAAACAAACAAGTTTAACTATCAGTATTCGGTAAATTAAAAGTTGGTGAGTAATCCTGGTAATTGATAGAAAATGCTTGATGCGGTTAAACGTGCTCATACTAAGTTTGAATTTAAGTTGGCGTTCCTCGTCCGTCGTCGTTAACTTTTACAAAAATCTTCTCCTCTGAAACTACTGGGCCAAATTTAACCAAACTTGACCACAATCATCATTGGGGTATTTCGTTTGAAAAAATATGTCTGATGACCCGACCAACTAACCAAGATGACCGCAATGGCAACAAATAGAACATAGGGGTAAAATGTAGATTTTGGCTTATATCTCTGAAACCAAAGCATTTAGAGCAAATCTGACTAGGGTAAAATTGTTCATCAGGTCAAGATTTATCTGCCCTGAAATTTTCAGACAAATTGGACAACAGGTTGTTGGGTTGCTGCCCCTGAATTGGTAATTTTAAGGAAGTTTTGCAGTTTGTGGTTATTATCTTGAATATTATCATAAATAGTATTCAACCTGTAAACAGCAATAATGTTCAGCAAAGTAAGATCTACAAATAAGTTAACACGACCAAAGTGGTTAATTGACCCCTTGAGGAGTTATTGTCCTTTATAGTAAAGTTTTATCATTTTTTTGGTAAATCTTTGTAATCTTTTACACAAGTCTTCTCCTCTGAAACTACTGAAACCAATTTAACCAAACTTGGCTATTATATATAGGACATCATTAGGGTATTTAATCTAAAAAAATGTGTCCGATGACCCCGCTTGTCAACCAACATAGCAAACATGGCTAAAAATAGAACATAGGGATACAATGCAGTTTTTGGCTTATATTTCTGAAAGTAATTAAAAGCAAAATAAGATCTACAAATAAGTCCACATGACCAAAATGGTCAATTGACCCCTTAAGGAGTAATTGTCCTTTATAGTAAATTTTTAACAAATTTTTCGTAAATTTTTGTAATCTTACAAAAAATCTTCTCCTCTGAAACTACTTAGACAAATTTAACCAAACTTGGTCATTATTAGGGTATCTAGTTAAAAAATGTGTCCGATGACCCTGTCTGCCAACCAATATGGAAAACATGGATAAAAATATAACATAGGGGAAAATGCAGTTTATGACTTATATCTCTGAAACTAAAGCAAAAGTATTACGGTTGCATTATTTCATGCATCAATTGTAAATAAAAATATCAGGTGAGCGATACAGGCGAGCGATGCAGGCTTCTTGGAGCCTCTAGTAAGAAAAATATGATTAAATTTGTTTACATTGCCATAATCATTATAATGTTAAAAACATAATCGTATTTAAAAAAACTTGATCATCAGAGACAATTAGCCGTTATTTTGTAAGCCAGACACCAGTTGTGTCTTCAAAAGACTCATCTATAATGTTGAACAAAAAATGTAAGATGGACAATTGAAGTACAAAATTGGAAAGCATTGATGACCCAAAATTTCAAAAGGTTTTGCCAACTTAAGGTAGTTTAGTTCTAAAGACAAAATCATCAAAGTCACATAACTCACACACAAAAACAAAATTCAAATCAAAATAATATCATAGTATAATATATGTTAATATAGTATGGTCAAGAAAATATGATGACAAGTAATCCTTGAATCTATGAAGCTTTTAGTCAATTAGTGTGTTTCGAATGGACAGAACAACACGAACTGATTTAAATAAACTAATTCCTATTTTCCCTGTAAGTAAGAAATTGTGCAATTCTTATGATGAAAGAAAAGAAATAACAGGTCTTTTGCATTTGGCTAGTGCTGAATTCCATTAGAAGTTCTCCAAATCTCACTAAAGTATAGATGAATGGAAATCACAAAACCATCTCAGGCACAGTGTCCATGCTTCTTTTTGATGAAATACCAATTGTGTACTTGTTTTGTTTCAAAAAGTGAAAGTTAGTCCCGGTATTTGTCCACATATTTCACTTTTTTTAAAATATGATTTAAGAGATGGTGGTAAAAATGTCACTGTTTCTGCTGTGAATCCACAAGTTGAGTATACTAGCTGTTTATAACTTTTTCTTTTTCCAACGAATGTGCTGGGTCCTTTCGTGTTTACTTTAACTGTATATCGTTTCATTTTATATATATCTACTGTTTGGTTTAAATTGATTTCATAAATTTGTTTGCTTGCCTCAGACTTCAGCTCTCTTTTTGTGGTACTGAGTAGAGAATCTCCAAGTAAAATACTGATTGTTACATCGTTAGATCCTGAATATGTCGTTGCTCCAAATAAGAGAACAGCGCATAGCTTACCATTAAAAGATGTTTGAAAATCAACACAGTCATATTTAGAAGTACGTTTCCAGATAGTAACTTTATTATTATTACAAACACATCTTCGAAAACGCACCCTATAGTTTCTCTTTTCTGAAATAAAAATACTGTTCCGATTATTGGTAAAGGAATGAAAAACATTGATTGTCTCAGCTGATGTCAGTAAGCCGCTGTTCGAAACATTATCAGTAAAATAATCTTGTTCCATTGTGGGGAATCTGATCAGATATAACAAATCACCAAGACATACCCTGACGTTGTAATATGTCGTTGGTAATTGTTGTTTGGTACATCTAAATTTTGCCCATCTAACCATTTGCTCATAAACATGTTCTTCCTTGCATCTCAATGTATCAGATTTGATAATATGTTTCACATATTCTCTTGGTAATTTCACAAAAGAAATTGAATATAAGCAGTTGTGTCCATTTCTCAAAATATAATCTAATGCATAAGACTTCAATTCTTCCATATTCATGCCAAAAGCTATTTTAAGAACAGTGAACACATAATCTGTGTTCAAATATTTCTTTAAAAAGCAAACACATTTATCCTTCAGCACCTGGATGAAGTACTTATCTCCAGCAAGCAACAAACTCTCCACATTATCAAAATTTATCTCCACATCATCTGTGTAAATAAATCTGTAAAACATAGAGAAAGAATAATACTCGTTACATACTTATACATTTGTACTCTCTCTCTCTCTCTCTCTCTCTCTCTCTCTCTCTCGTTTAATATAGTTAAATTTTAAATTGCCGAGCTTTTTAAATATTTAAGATATAACTGTTGAGAGTGGAGAAATGTCGTAATACACGAATATACAAGATATTCCATTTCAAAGATTTGCAGAAAGTTGTGTTCTTTATATGTGCCGTCATCAGGTATGGTCGTCTTTTTTCATGTGTTTACAATAGGAACTTCAGAGGAAATCAAAAACACGATGGGTGTCACATGTGGAGCAAAATCTGCTTACCCTTCCGGAACACCTAAGATGACACCAGTTTTTGTCGTGTTCCTCCGTCTTTTGTTTTCTATGTTTTTTCATGTTTTGTGTACCCTTGTTTGTCTATTGGTCTTTTTTTTTCTTTTTTAGCAGTGGCATTGTCAGTTTATTTTCGACTTTTGAATGTTTCTCTGATATATTTTGCATCGCTTTGACGCCATAATCGAATTTTAACCAATCATTTGCCGAGTGCAAACTTTTCTCTAGAGACGAAAAATGTGAAAATGAAATGAGAATTAATTAACTCCTACTTTAAACTTATCAAAATCTGGCATTTTAACGTGAGGTATAATAATTACAATAGGTCTATGTTATGTAAGCAGTTCAGCTACGTGTATCCTTTTTCCCTTTAACTATTTTTTTTTCAAATTATCTCATGGATAGTTTTTGAAAGTCTAAGTAAGATAAGGGATCACTAGTCTACTGGTGATTTTAGACGTTATTGGGTTGCGTTTTGCAATTTGCAATATTTTAACCCTTGCTATCTTTTAATGATAATTAAGATGATTCCAACAGGTGCTTGTTTTACATTTTTCAATTTATTAAATGTTAATCCAATACAGCTCTAAAAATGAAATCAATTCCGTGAATGAGGTCAATGTTGTTTTTATTTGTTGGTTTACATATTTTTTATGTGAAAAAAGGGGGGTCGGTTGGTAAGGGGAAAAAAAGACTAACAAGACATATAACTATAGATTGAATAATGTAACTGTGTACTGGAGCTAAAGTTATTACAATGTTTGTGTTCTCCATTTTTGTCTTCATTTTTAAAATATTAGTGTCAATCATTTAATTTCGGTTGTTGCCTTTTTAAATTTTTTTGATTCGAGAGTCACTGATGAGTCTTTTGTAGACGAAACGCGCGTCTGGCGTAAATACAAAGTTTAATCCTGGTATCTATGATGAGTTTATTTAAAACATGCAATGCCTTTGATAGTTATATAAGTTCGCAAAAAAGGGGGTGCATTAAAGGGGCACTAGCTACAATACATATACAAAAATCAAATTTATTTTTTTAATTCTATCATTAATGAAAGTAAAATAGTGAAACAATGATCCACTTTAAGCATCCAGTATAATGGTTCAATTTTTTCAAAATAAGCTAAGAAACATTGATGATGAATTATTCACTCATTGAATCCGTATTCATGTGACCTTCAATTCAACCCGATAGTTAAAGATATATTACACATTAATTATGCGTGTTCAGTTATTAAATTTATTTGTTGATGTAGTTCATAAGTGTTTCTCGTTTTTTTTTATATAGATTAGAGCGTTGCTTTCCCCGTTTGAATGTTTTTACACTAGTCATTTTTTGGGGCCCTTTATAGCTTGCTGCTCGGTGTTAGCCAAGGCTCCGTGTTGAAGACCGTAGCTGGACCTATAATGGTTTACTTTTATAAATTGTGACTTCGATGGAGAGTTGTCTCATTTGCACTTATACCACGTCTTCCCATATCTATATCGTGTACAGGTTATTACTTGTACAAACATTTTATACAAGTAATTACTTGTATGAAGCCATCATACAAGTTATTACTGGTACAACTACAATTGTACAAGTAATTACTAGTACAATTTTTACTGAGTAAAAAAGGCTTTTAAATGAGTTGCAGCAAATATAATTGCATTCAGATTTACCACCATTTAATTAAATATGAAAACTTTTGTTTGATAACATTGTTTGGAAGTGAAGTGTAGAGAGTAGAAAAGTCAAAACTGTCAACAGAATCTTAATGACCATTAAAAGCACGTAACTTATTTAAAACATCCAAAGAATATTTTACACTCCAAAAAAGGTTAATTTCACTATTTTCACATATCTCATTACAATGAGTTAACGATAAGTTCTTTGATACATGAACTAGTTAAATTAAAAAGCACTTAAAGATTAGTTGTATAAGTAAGAAAATGTGGTATGAGGGTAAATGAGACAACTCTTAATCCAAATCTAATGTATAAAAAGTTAAGAATATAGGTCAAAGTTCGGCCTTCAACACTGAGCCTTGAGCACCCTCAACATTTGCTAGAGGCCGAGATGAAACAATATGTAACTGATTTTTTGAGTAGTTAAGGTGACCAATAAAGAGTAGGGACCTTCAAATGTCCAGAAGAGGCCTTTTAAAAGCTTTGATGTGTTTATGATATTTTTTTTACTCTATGACTCTCTGTGAAGCGCACGGTCTTGGTACATGTGTATTCTAAATGATATTCTTAAGAAAGTTTGTGTAGCATTTACGGCATATCACCATCACATTGTTGGCTGCTTTGTCAGCCGGTACAAACACAAACCGCTGAAAGTTCTATTCTAGAAATGTGTGTATCATGTACTCTTTTATTTAATTCTGTACTATTTTCAAAAAATGCAGTTTGTGATCTTTCGTTTGCCATGAGATCAATTATTACGTTGTCTTTAATTTCATCAACAATATTCATATCAATAGAAGAATTTTTAGATATGTTTCCTTATCTCAGTATATTGTCATTTACTGCGACAAAAGGAACATATCTAAAACTTCTTCTTTTGATACGAATACTGTTGATATAAGACCCAGTCAGGCTGCAGTTGTTAATTCAAGACAGTTTAGTAATTTTACGGGACTCTGCAAATAATTCAAGTAATTAATTGCCCTTGTTGTTTCTTGATCGTTGGTAATAGTCTGAATTTTTTTTTGTCAATGAATAAGACTTACTTCAACAGCAACTTAAAAGCATTCGGCTGAGTATCAGGTATGGTCACCTTTCCTTTCTCTGCCCATGAGCCTTCAAACATAGTGTAAAACACACTGCTTGCACTGGCCAACATGTACGTATGAGCACAGATAATTTCAGCATTTTCTCCAACTAAAAAGATTACATCACACATTAACTGTTTTTCCAACATCAATTTCATTCTCTCTTTTAATGATTTTCCAGATTGCCAGTCCATTTCCATCACAAACTACGGAGAGAAAATAAATATATAATTATAACTATAAATCCCAATCAACATCCAATAGATATAAGAAGATGTGGTATGAGTGCCAATGAGACAACTCTCTATCCAACTCACAATTTATAAAAGTAAACCATTATAGGTCAAAGTACGGTCTTCAACACGAAGCTGGTTTAAAATCACCCGTGCTACATGTACATGTAGGTTGTGTAAATTGCAGTATATTCTTTTTTGACCGGACCCGAATTGGTGCTCACAGTTTCCTCTTACAAAGTCTATCCAAAATAATTTGCAAAGAATACCGCTCAAGCCGGTGCTAATGGCCGTCTTAAACTTGGAGTGAGGGGAGTTATTTTTTTGCTCTGTGTTGAAGGCCTCACTGTGCCTTTGAGATGAAGAACAGCAATTAAAAAGCTGTTCCTTTGCTTTTTGTGTGTTTTTTGTTGTGCATGTATTGATTAATTGTGTCATAAATGGGTGCACCATATCCTTTGTTTTTCTAATTATGTCTGGAACAAAATTATTAGGCGTACTAAGCCTGGAATTCTGGCGTAATCCAGGCGTACGTGGTAGTAGATTGGTTCCCTCCGTAAAATATTGAGTATGCCTTTGGAATATACTATCCAGGCGTAATGGAGCAGGAAACGTAAATTTGAGGCACTTACAGGCGTAGAAAAAAGTAGTAAACCTGGCTTAAATTGAAATAAGCAAGGCCTTAATTTTCATACGGGCGTAAAACTGTTGGAAGAGCGTAAATCATAATATCCAATACTTTTGCTTTGTTTGAAGGATCAATTGATTCTTTTTTTAAATTTAGCTCTCTGGTACATGTATTAGCTTACAAGAGTTGGACATATGGTACAAATGACCGCTGGATATATTCAGGGGAAATTTGAAATTTAAATTCTGGAATTAAATTGATGAATGAAAAATGTTAAATGAAAGGAAAGAAGTATACACATGGTAAATAATAATTATGTGTCTGAGTAACTAAAATATTAGGTTTTTATTTTTTAACATTAATTTCAAATTCTGGAAAACCTCAGGCTCAGCCTTAGATAACAACATTTAAATCATTTCTGTCGTGTACAGAACTAATAGATGATAAAGGTCAACATATTTCAGAGCAATCCAAAATTCTGATGGAACAACAATTTTTTTATAAAAATGTGTACTCAAGCAAAAAATTAGATTACAATGATACATCATTTTTTAATCATAACATCAAGCTTACAGAAGAACAAAGTGATCTTTGTGAAGGAAATTTAACTTTTAAAGAATGTGCCGATTCTTTGAAATTTATGACAAATGGTAAAAGTCCTGGTTCTGATCGATGGGTATTCTGTAGATTTTTATATATTTTTTTGGAAAGATATTGGCCCTTTTGTCTTTCGATCTCTTCACTTTGGATATGCGGGGGGAAAATTTTCAGTATCAAAGTATAATCACTTGCATTATTAAAGAGGGAAAAGACAGACGGTATATTAGTAACTGGCGTCCTATTAGTCTTTTGAATACTGATATGAAAATAGCTTCTGCTGTTATAGACTTAAATCTGTTTTACCAGTAATCATTAGTGATACACAAAAAGGTTTCATTATAGACAAGATTTATGGGTGAGAACACACGTCTTTTATATGATTCGATGCACTATCTTGAGGAAAATAATAAGACAGGTCTTTTATTACTTGTCGATTTTGAAAGGGCATTTGATTCCTTGGAATGGTTATTTTTAAAAAATTCCTTGAAAAGCTTTAATTTTGGGCCTTCGATATGTATATGGTTTGAAACTTTATACTCAGGTGCATCAAGTTGTGTTATAAATAATGGACACATGTCTAAGTTTTTTCATTTAGAAAGAGGTTGCAGACAAGGAGATCCTCTTTCTCCCTATTTATTTATAAATGGTGTTGAATTATTATCTTTGAAATTAAAAGGTAATCCTGTCATAACGGGAATTACTATCAATGATAATGAATCACTTTTAAGCATGTAAGCAGATGACACATTCCTTATGTTAGATGGAAGCGAAGTATCGTTGAGGGAAACACTTTCATGTTTGAATCTTTTTATAAAATTTCAGGTTTGAAAATAAATGCTTCAAAGACAAAAGCACTATGGCATGTATGGGTTGGAAGTAAAAAATATTCGGATCTTATTTTATGTCCTGACTTAAAACTTCATTGGTCACATTCAAATTTTAAACTTTTGGGGATTGAATTTTTCATTAGATTTAAGCTGTATCACAGAAATTAATTTTGCTAAGAAAATTAAAGAGGTCTCTGCAATTCTGAAGAGCTGGCAACATCGAAAACTCACATTATTGGGAAAAATTACAGTAATTAAATCACTTGCTCTTTCAAAGTTGGTCCATTTATTGACTGCATTACCAAACCTATCACACTCCAGGTTAACAGAGCTCACTTCATTATTTTATGATATCATATGGAATGGAAAACAAGACAGAATTAAGCGAAACACACACTTATTGGTGATATTTCACAAGGTGGACTTAGTATGGTACACCTCCATTCCTTCAATATCTTTTTGAAAATTAGATGGATAAAAAGACTGCTGCCAAACCATAGCGGTGGCTGGCAGCAGTTGTTACTGGCAGACGTTATGCAGTATGGGGGTGAAAGGGTTTTACATCATCAGAAAGAAAAGCTGATTGAGATTTCTAAAAGATGTAACAATTCTTTCTGGAAGGATGTTTTACTATGCTTTTCCGCTGCAAAACCTATTACTGAGATTTCTGTCAGCGACATTTTATCCTTAGATATTTTGAACTTTTCTTCTATGGATGATTTCCCTTATTACATTCTATGAGAAAAGGGGGGTGTGCAGTCAGTAAGTGACCTTATTAATCATGAAAATATGAATTTTTATAAATTTGAGCAATTTCAAGAAAAAGTACGAACCAACAACTTTATCAAATATTATGGTCTGATTTCAAAAATCCCTAACACCATGAAAGAATGCCTTAAAGAGAACTGTCTAAATAATGATTTGGATAAGTCTAACACTGGTGATACTTTCTTAAAAAAAATCATGTGTAATGTGAAAGCCAAATTTGTATATAAAAACTTAATAGGTGTAGTTATTCAACTACCAACAATCAAATTTTTGAAATGGGAAGAACTGTTAGTTATTGAAACTACAGAATGGTCAGAATATTTCATGATAACAAAAAAGTCTTGTAGAGATGCTTATTTAAGAACCTTGCAATATAAATTTTTGCAAAGAATTATAGCAACTAATACTTTTTTGTACAAAATTAAATTAAAAGATACCAAGTTATGTACTTTTGGTAAACTTGGAGAAGAAACCATTGAACACCTGTTTTTTGAATGCCCAATAACTTTTCAATTGTGGCAGTCTTTTTCAAATATTGTTAAACTTTTTTTTTGTTAACTTGGTTCTCAACAAAGAGAATGACGTGTTTCTTGGTTGCAAACATGAAAGTTTATTATTGAATCTGCTAGTCATAATTACAAAGAATTATATATATAAATGTAAATTAAATGAAACAAAACCAAATATGGTTGAGTTAAAGAATAAAATAAAGAAATACCAATTTCTTGAATATCATATCGCAAAGAAAAATGATAAAGTCCAAGTTTGTGAAAAATTTTGGTCTCCTTTACATGTAATATTTAACTAAGTGTTGTTTTCATATTATCTATGTTTAGTTAAGAGAAAAGAAATAAGTTATAAACTATGAGCAAATTTATGTCTGTCTTTAAAATAATTGTTTTGAAAAGTAAGTCATGATACATATTGTAGCAAAACAGATGGGTGAAAGTATTAGTGTTGTATGTGAGAAAGTCCGAGAGAGAGAGAGAGGAGAGATTAATCAAATACAAATAATTTTATAAGTAACCTAGGATATTATTATTTTTAAAAATTAATTAGTCAGAGATACATGTTATATAATGCATTATTTTTCTGTATTTACCCCTTTATACCATTGTCTGGTGGTAGTGTATGGGGGTATGAAAAATCCTGACTAGTGAAAAACAAATAAAAGATATAAAAAAAAAAAATATTATGCCTTATTTTACGCTGGTTTCCACCTCGATTACGCTTGGTTTCCGCCCTGTTTAATAAGCCTGGACATACATTTACTAAAAACTGCAATGATGACTGTGGATAAAGTATAATTTCTACGCCTGGTTCCCGTGTCATTTACAGGCGTCACAGTTCCTACAGGTATATATATTTTTTTTAAATCTAAATGTTTAAGGGATATAACTCTATCCCAACAAAATTCATCCGTACAAGTTTATAAAGCTAGAGGCTACAAGGAGCCTGTGTCACTCACCTGATATTTTTGTTTACAATTGATGTGATCTGATTAGGGCAGATAGATCTTAACCTGATGAACATTGTTACCCCTGGTCAAATTTACTCTTAATGCTTTAGTTTTAGAGATATATGCAAAAAACTGAATTTACCCCCTAAGTTCTATTTTTAGCCATGGCGGCCATCTTGGTTGGCAATCAGGGTTGTCGGACACATTTTTTAAACTAGATACCCCAAATGATGATTGTGGCCAAGTTTGGTTAAATTTGGCCCAGTAGTTTCAGAAAAGACTTTTGTAAAAGTTAACGGACGACGACGACGACGGGCGCCTAGTGATTAGAAAAGCTCACTTGGCCTTTCAGGCCAGGTGAGCTAAAAATGGGGGTATGTGTCCCGCTGATGCCCAGCTTGATTATAACGTGATAAAGGGACATAACTCAAAAACCATAGAAGTGACGCTACCCAAATATTTCCTTGATCAGATTCTGTGGTATTAATAGGCATTGTGTATAAGTTTCATAACATTTGGTTGAGGCAAACTTAAAAGGTCATTACTCTAGAACGATAAGAGTCACAAAACCAAATTTCAAACTTGATCTGCGTTTTATAGCACATGTAATAAGCATTTTGTATAAGATCATTACATTTAGTTGAGGCAAACTTAAAGAGAACGGAAACGAAAAATTCTGCATGTT